CTCAGGTATGACGATTACTATTACTACGGCCCTCCCCACATGCCCCCTCCCTCGAGAGGCCGAGGCCGAGGTGCCAGCCGTGCAGGTTACACGTATCCCCCTGAGTACTACGGCTACGAGGATTATTATGATTACTATGATTACCATAATTACCGCGGTGGATACGAGGACCCGTACTACGGCTACGACGACTTCCAGGCCCCAGTCCGAGGAAGGGGGGGCAGAGGCGCTCGGGGCTCGTCCCCGGCACGGGGCAGGGGGGCTGGCGCCCCCCGAGGCAGGTCCAGCTTCTCTCAGCGGGGGGGCCCCGGGCCGAGCAGGGGCGCACGAGGAGCCCGAGGGGGCATGCAGCAGCGAGGCCGTGGGGTAGGTGGGGGGCGACCGTGGAGGTGAAGGGGCGGGGGGTAGGGGCTCCGAGGTGGTGCTCAGTCTGGTTGCCATGGTTATGAATCTGCCAGCCTGGAATCGTACTGGGATTCCTCAAGGCAGCTCACTTTGAGTCCGCTAGCCCCGTGTCTGACAGGCTCTGCATTTGTGTGCTCCTGTGCTTTCGGAATACTTCATTTTGTTTGCTATGGTGAACTGATACTAAAAGCTGTTACCAGATTTAATCATTTGCACTTGTGTGTAAAAATAGCTCCCTACTCGCTATTATTTGAAATAGCTCCCTATTCCCTAAATAGTGCACTACATAGTGAGTCTGCAATTTTGTAATGCTGTTTGATTTCTCTGACAGCTCTCGCTATATAGTGCTCTTAGATTCCCGCTGCGCAGTGCATATAGTACTGCACGGACGAGGTGTAGAAGCATTCACTTCATACCGTAATGCTGGGTGGAGCAGAGAACCTAACTGACCTCTCAGTACAGACAAGGGTAACTTCATAAACGTAAGCATATTTTTAAAAGTAACTTAAAATCAGCAATCTATGCATAGATTGAAGTTGACATTCATTTTAAATAAAAAATTTTAAATGATGCATCCATGTTCACTTGATCTTTATTGTTTCTTTTATGTTTCTGAATTTTGCTATTGGCAAAGACACCAATATGTGGCCTGCTGGGATGTGGCCTGCTGGGATGTGGCCTGCTGGGATGTGGCCTGCTGGGATGTGGCCTGCTGGGATGTGGTGTCTGAAACTCGCATCTTGTTTTACGATTTCCCTGTATATTGTTTGGCTGTACATTTTGAGTAGTATCTGTCTTAAAGGCAAAGGTTTTGTTTAAAAACAATTTAAATAACTATTATAAATTACACAAATCCTTAATAGTTTTATTGATCCCCATGGGGTAATTCTTTTTACGATTCCCCCAACTTGCTCTCTGTAGCATCTAAAATAGCATTTTGCATAAAAAAAAAGTTCTTTGCTGCTTGAACACACACTTTAAAAAAATAAAACTTCATATTGGCTGAAATGTGAATTTGCAGCAGTCACATTGCATGAAATTTGAGGCTAATTATGGGGGTTTGAATAGGGTTTGGCACATGGAGGCTGAGTGTCGCCGTGTCACTTTCTGTGCCTTTAAAATGTAAAGTCAGAGCTGGTTTCTATTCGGCTACTGCAGGGTGTCTGTCAGGCAGGGGGAGTGTGAGTGTGGGAGCTTAATGCAGGAGCCGTATGAATGAGACGCGTTCAGAGAAGGTGACATGAAACGTGACGCTGGAGCTGGGATCTTCTGTGTGCTGACAGCTTAAAATCGCAGCTTTCCAGTGCCCTGTGCTACGAAGCGGGTTCCTGGCTTATCGGGGTAACTTGTCGGATTTAAGGTAGTCTGGGCAAAATGTAAGTGAACGAATATGAAGTCCATTTAAACTGTGGTACCTTAAATCCGACAAGTTACCCCAATAAGCCAGGAACCCGCTTCGTAGCACAGGCCACTGGATGGACAGCTGGACGGTGCTCTTCCCCTGTGCCCTTTGTATTATTCCCCTCTGTGTCCTGTATACTTGGGGTGTTTTCTCCTGTTCAGTCATGTTTAAACTGGAGGCACAAAATTCCCATTAACTAAGGTGTGAAAGGGACACATTTTGACATCTCCCCCCGCCGGACATGAACCATTGCCTTTACACATCCCAGCAAGACCGTCTCTCTCTGGGTATCACATAAGGTTAGATGTATGGCCATTTGACTTTCGTTGCCTAGTTGAACGTCATGTAACTCTTTCGAATCGCCATGTTTCTCTGTGCCATCTTGGATGCTCTTCTGATTGGATGCTTTTGTCACCTGACTGGCAGGGAAAGGGGGTTGACACCAGTCCTGAACTTTTACTATGAAGACTGACTTGCTGTGCGGGGTTACACCAGAAGCTGCCAATGGACACGAGGCTAAGGTCAACACGATGGTCCAATGATATTCCAGCCTTATAGAAGCATCTCCCAGACTGCCACCACGAAGATAATCATCGGAGCAAATTCGAGACTTGTTACGTGCTTGGACTTTTACTTCGTACACATTTGGATAAAAAGCCTTGCATTTTAGCTGACTTGCCACCTCCCCTGTTCCTGCCCCGTCGTTTTAAGTACCTATCAAAGATGTTCAGATTTCCTGAGGGATTCTCGTCCCGAAATGAAATGTAAAATGTATTTTGCACTTTGTCTTAGTTTTGAAGTGGCTCGAAGGAGCTTGATGCTATTGTATATTTTTTTTTTTTTTTGTTTTGTTTTTCGTTCTAATTGCAGCTTTATGTTGGAATATATTAATCTAAATTGTTTTGATTTGGAGAGGTTTTGAAGAGGATGTTTTTGCCGGTTTTAGGTGTAACCACCTGGCATCTGCGGTCAGGCATTCCAGGAAAGTGGTTCTTTTCAGAACTTGTCTTTTTAAGGGTTGGTTAACTACCTCAGTACAGAGGATTAAACTGCCCTGTCTGTACTGTAAATAAGGAAACGTTATTGATGAAAGCAGGGCTTGTTCCCCACTAAATATGCACACATGGGCAGCGGCGGCGGCGGAGCTTGATTTGCTCCTTGTAATATAGAGCTGGTGCTGCCCTGACATCGTGAACAGTCAAACTGGGCATGTATACTAATCTCATATGATGAGCCTGAACAAGCCCTGCCTTCATCCTATTTGAACTGAATTAGCTACCTTGCTTCTTCAGATTATGTAGTTACTGGTTGTATGATAGTTTAGAAAAATGTTACTTTTGTAAGAGCTTGAACATAAAAAAAGCTTCACAGCTACTTTTGAATATCTCTGCGGTGTCCCCCTTTCTCACAGCAGATGAGTCTTTTTTGATACTAACTCACCGGTTTTGAAAGCTGTGTACACGTTTATTTTTGGAGGTCACTGGATGTCATTTGTGTACCAGCTGTAATCATGCACACCACGAACAGTGATGGATATCATAAAGAGCTGCTTTTTTTCCCCCTCGTTCCATTCATGTGAACGGTAAAAGGGTCATAAGTTACGGTGTGCGTGACTGCGACGACAGCGCTGTGTCCAGGAAGACCGATCGATCCCCTGGTTTAAGGGGGATACTGCAGCCGTGTATTTTTTTCTTATTCCATAAGTTGCAAAAAGGAAACTGAACACTTGATCTGGTTTTGTACACAGTTAACTCCCTCTCAAATCTGTATAATTACAAGCAGACCTTTGAAAAGTTGTTACCGGTTTTAAACTATTGTTGGTGGCCAACAACCGTTTTTGCATTCCTGCAAATAAATTGTTTTATACTGTAAGATGAGGTGAGTAACTTATTTTTGTAATAAAGTTTTTGATTTTTATCTGTGTCTTAAAACTGTTTGCTATGCATTGTATGAAGGGCAATTATCAGTCACTACTGATGTCATTCGTTTACCTGCTGGAACATGCACCATAATTTGCAGTATGACGATGATTTTACAATTCGGACCCAGTGACGCCTAAAAACCTTGTTTTCTTGAATGATTATAGCTTTTGAATGAGTCTAGTGTATATAAAATGTTTGTCCTTTGAGAGCTGCGAGGGAGAGGGTGCTGTGTTTTAGGTATCGATCAGATACGGTAGGTGGATTTTAAAACGGGTCCAAAGTACTTACAGGGTACTGACTTTGCATGTGTGTTATAACATTCATATGGAACTTTTGGTTTAACTATATGATTACGTCAGAATGTGGTTTATTTGTCTTGGCACTTAAAGGGACACCTGCATTGGCTGACGACATGCTCGCATTGCCGTCGCTGCAGAGCACAGAATGCAGCGATTAAATGCCGCTGGCTGCTGGTTAAAAAATTGAGGAGGTAAGGTGATACGTTTTACTGTTTTGCAATAGCGGTTTTTTCCCCAAAGAAAGAAAATGTTTCTGAATGGCAATATTTTAGCAATGAGTTATTTTAGTTCTAATCTCAAAAATAATGATCTAGCTGTTTCTGGTAAATGCTGTCAACTCTTGTTTCAGTTGTAAATTTGTGTGGAAAGTAATTGGGTTTCGATGGTCAGTAATGCCAAGAATTTTCTTCAGTTTAAGAAAGTGATGCCCACCGCTTATTATCATATTAACGGTAGTGCTTAACATTCAATGAGGTTCGCATCCACACGTCGGCAGTTTCTCACTGTACTGCTGTTTATAAAGTGTCCACAATGGGCCAAGTGAAGTCCTCCAGATCTGAGTAATTGGGAACGATGACCATGAACCACTGTTAAATGTTCGTGATATGAAGATTGTAGTTAAACGTCAATATTCATTTTTAAGAAAGGAAAATCCGCCGAATAAAGGTTAAAGGGAATGACCGGAAGATTGCCGAGACTGAGACATCAGTCCTCACAAAATCTGTAAATTAATGATAGAAATTATAATGTTCAAAGGAAAATGTACTTGTGAATGAAACAAATTTACTTTAAAAAGTAAGCTTTAGAATTTTAGTTAAAATTTTGCATACAACGCATGGGTCATTCATCTGTCATTGTTTAAAAATGAATAAACTGTGCGGGCAGTTCGTGCCTAGAACATCACTAAAAATAGTGCATGACCTCGACGGCTGTACGCGTTGGTATAATACCATCCATGCCGTAATACAGTATGTATACAGTATAATAGTGTGTTAAACCCACGAATCTCGAGGCTACTGTAAAAAACAAAAAAAAAAAACCGACGGAATCTTGCAAAATGATCATTTGAAAAATTATCTCAAATTACTAATGTCTGATGCATTTAAATTCACTGCCGTACTTTTCCTGCTCACGTATCTACAGTAACTATGAAACGAGAATCCCAGAAGCCCATGACATTTAATTTTTTTTTCATTGTATTAAGCAGAAGGAATGGGTCTGAGTGTAACAGTACATTTTGATTTTCATTTTTTTTGTTTTGTTTACACTTTTGTAGTAAATCTAGTATTGTCCAGTTTGTAATGGGATTTAGTTTTAAGAATATAATGTATACATATTCATACAACTTTCGAAATTAGCATCATTGTCATATTTTAAAAATCTTTCATGCCGATGTCAATAATGGGACTACTAGTTCATAAAGTTCGCTGTTGAATTAAAAATGTATAGTGTCGCCCATGCCCATGTGCCTCGTAAAGCTGGTGCACCAGAGGAGCCCATCCCTAGGTGGGCAATACAGTCCGACAGCCCCAACCACACCCAATGCCAAGTCATGCGCCTCGGATCATATAGCAGTCCAGAAACGAAATACCCCTGAGACAAATTAAAATATTTTAGAAATACTCTCTTATGCTAGACCTAACCGCCTAACTTATAAATAGCACTCGTACCATACGTAAAAGAGACGTGTTCTTTAAGTCGCGTGTCACCTGACAAGTCCAGACCGCGACGAGCAGCCAGCGGAAGTGACGTCAGGCAAGGGGGCCGTCTGTTAGAGTAAACCGGAACTGCCTCGCTCGCTATGAAAATATAAATACAATTCCAAAATGCACTAACCAAGCGCAGTGTTTACGCACTTAAAACATGTAGCCATTTATCTTTCGTCACATATTTAATTCGAATTGATATTCAAGAAGATAACCAGTTGCTAAGGTAAGTGAATATCAGATGGGCAGATTAACTTACATTTGTCCCCAGCTAGCTAAATTATGTATTTACATGGTAGGTCCGATATAACTGTGTCGAATAAATTGCATATACATATACAAGCGATTCGTTAAAAGTGAAAACCCCAGAATGGTCTGTGGGCTTCCTGTCCGTGTCCTCAGCGATCACCCTTTAGCTGCCTGTTAAAGTATGAGAGGATTTACATTACACATTTACAGGACCGTGGACGGCTGTCAGTAGTTTCACTATTGCTGACGCTTCCATCTAAAAGTTTGATTAATGTGCATTATTAAAGTATTGCTAAAACTAAACATATATACGCAAGATATATACGTATACTAATCGAAATCTGCCTACAGTTATATTTTGCCGTGTAATTAAACAGTTGTCCAGTTTGTGTAATCACTTATGCAAGCAACTACACTCTTTTACCAAGTATAACATTGAAGTTCGTGTATTGCATTAAAATAATTAATTTTTTAGACACCCAAGTAACGGTTGTGCGCATTTTTACTGGTATTGACCCAGGTACAGTAAGAGGAGGGAAATCGCCGGAATTAATATTTCAGCATTTCGCGACAATCTGCATGCATAATTTACAGACATGTTCAAGCAGACTGTCATATGATGGTACTGTGCGTCTGTCCCTCCAGACCACGATGTTGCGTATAAGAAGCTCGCTGGAGACCCTGAAGCAGGGTCTGAAGGTGGATCTCCTCCGGGAAACTGGCCGCCAGTATCCGCTCTTCTGCTTCCTTCTGGCATTCCTGCTCTTATCAACTGTTGTTTTGCACGGGTAAGTGTAAGGCAGCTTTTATACAGTGTTGCATGTCTGCCGTGATTCCCCCATCAGTTACTTAATTAGTAAGGTTACTGAATGACATGTTCAGTGTCCCAGCCTTCCCATCTCCATGCAGATCATGTCGGAAGCCATTATCATTTTTAATGGAATGCTGTAAGTTTAAGAGGACCTGATTTCCATATCCATTATTTATCTATAGTATATCTCCAGTCTGACTCCACATGATGTGTCATTGTGGGGTTTTGCCCTGGTTCTCTGCCTCCCCCCACAGCCCAGCTAAGGGGAACTGTCTGGAGGTGTGACTGTATGTATGAGTGGTCTGTGGGCCCCACCATGGGTTGGTGCCCCATCCAAGGTTATTCCCTTCCTTGTGCCCATAGTTTCAGGACCAGCTTTGGGCCGCTGTGACTCTCTGTAGCAGTGATCACCAACTAGTTGACCGTGATCTACAGATGATCTTTAGGACATTCCCAGGAGATGCCGACAGGGCTGTGGCGGGTGGGGAATTCTCCCCTGGTCTGCAAAATATAGCATCTTGATTCAGAAGCTCATTTTTTCTTCATGCCAGTAGCTCTCGCTGTTATGTACAGGTTGGAGGCCACTGCTATCAGATATAGGCTAAGATGTAACTTTTGTGTAAGATGCAGGGGCTACACTAGAAATTATGGGCCCCCAACACACCAAACCGATTACGTTCCAAGCAGGAACAGAAACTGAAAATCGTTTCCTATTGCTGCTGTAGGTACCTCTACATCCTGATGGTTTTCTGGTCCTTCCTGGCTGGTGTGGTCACCTTTTACTGCTCCATCGGTCCAGAGTCCCTACTGCCCAACATGCTGTTCACCATTAAGCCGAGAGCCAAGGTAAATGGAGTTTTGCCAAGTGGGCAAACCGCCCCCCTTTCTTCCTCATGCCGTTTTCAGTTCCTGCTGTACCGCTCTGGTTTTGGCTGTGCCTCATGCTTTGGTTTTATTGACTAGGAGGAACAACCAGAACTGTTTCCTCTGGGTCAGAGCTGTGCAGTCTGTGGGAAGACAAAGTGCACACGGCACAGGTAGGCCTGAGCTCTCAGCGAGACGCCTGCACTAACAGACGTCCGTGTCATTTAGTGTCCCTGTGACATCGCCGCTACCTTCTGTGTGCTGAGGTTTGTTTCCTGATTCAGAGCTCGGCGCAAATGAGCATGAGAATCTTCATCAGTCAGACGAGCGACATTCATGCATATAAAAATTACCGTCTCACCTTTTCATCCTTTTTGAATTGTTGGTGTTTCAGTCTTTCCACTCATTATTAATCTGTGATAACACTCTGGTCCAAGTAACCCTGGGTTCTCTACCCTGTATCCATGGGCGCTATGATAGGGCTTCTGCTGCAGGCGAGCTGGACCTCGACGAGGGACAGAGCAGTAGTGCTGTAGCATGGAGGATTACCACACTTGCAGATTGCAGTCGCTGTTTTCATTCATTTGCTGAAATGTGATATCTTCTCTGGACTCTGGAGATGGTAGCTTGTGTTTCTGCTGGAGTGAGATATGTCAGGCTAGAGAAGAGTCCCTGCCCAGGACTGTGGTTTGGAAAAAGGAACCTTCACACGCAGAGCAGGAACACTCGACATCTGGTAAAAGAAGCTGAGGAAATGAAAGTTTTTTTTTTCTTTCTTTTTTTTCCTGATCTGGTTTGAAAGTACTTTAAGGGAGCAAGTTTGCTGCCTCTGTATAAAGATAAATTTTAGTAACTGATGTTGTCATGCAAGTGTCTAAACAAATTCACACGTTTAGATGTTTGGTCATTTATCAGGGTTGTTGTCTGTCAAGCTAACAAAGACCTAGAAAAACTAGTCTACCATCTGAAAAAAAATTCTTTTGTTGTCTCATTTTGGTAAAGTCAAAGTCATATCCCACGTTTCACAAATCCTTATAAGTCTCTTTGTTACATGGTTTTGGTAACTTTACTAAATGGTTTCTGCCGACTTGAGCCGGACTACTGCAAACCCCCAGAGAAATAGCGCGAGTCTAAAACTTTTACAAACTTGTACTATACTGCCATCTAGTGGAACTTCTTTTTAGTACAACGGAAATTTACCTTGATTGTGACTCAAACTAGAGTATGTAACAAGTTTATTATATAGCCTATCAAATGTGCTTTAATACCTAATTTAATGTTATTGTACATTAATGTCATTATTGTAATAAAGAATAAAAGGCGTCTATCTGTCTGGCAGGCTGACGTTGCAGCTGGAGAACTTTCAGCCATGGCTGGACTTGAAGGTATATTCCAAGGTGGACACGTCTATCGCAGAGGTAGGTGCCGCCTTGATGTTTATTGCCACGCTTTTGAAATGAAGGTCTCTGGTGGTATTTTTGGGACGAGTCCTGTTCTTGTTGTTTTCTAGGTTCTGGAGTTGGTCCTTGAGAATTTCGTGTATCCCTGGTACAGGTACGTGTTACAGTTTTCCCGTGATTCCTGTGTCTCTCTGCATGCGCGGATCTTATATTCCAGCCCTAGTGAAAGGTATCGCGTCCCCTTGTGTGAAGGACGCCTGTGTTTTTGGCGGGAGGAGACTGGGCCTGGCGTGGGTGTTTAAGTAACCTCTCCCCACCTGAATGACCTTTTCTCCTCCTCCTAAGGGACGTCACGGACGACGAGACCTTTGTGGACGAGCTGAGAGTGTCGTTGCGTTTTTTTGCAGCCGTCTTGGTCCGGCGAGCACAGAAGGTAAACCCTAAAGAAGCACTTTCAACTGTCGGACACAGTAAATTCGGATTATAAAATATACAAAACGGTGTACAATACAGTTCAAAGAAAATGCTGAATCTTTGAAACTCCTCAGAGGGATTGATTTGTTTATATTCTTGTTTTGTTTATATGGGTCCATAGTTTTTTCGGACTGCGTTCGCGTCCCTCGTCCTTCTCTGCATGACTGGAGATGGGGTACGATTAAGACCCAGCAGAGACACTCTGTTATCGGTCTGCTCTGTCCTTCAGGCTTTGAAAAGCCACAAGATGCAGCTCCATTGTTCAGTGGGAATGGACTATTGATCTGTGCTCCCCCACAATAATTTGGGCACCTGCCGCTTCAGTTTCTGAGGTGTTTGCTCAAGACATGGGCCGTGTCTCACCAGCAGCACCTGCCGCCTTCTGGAGGAGCAGGGTATTGCACGCTTGTCAGCTGTCTTTGTGTTGGTGTCATCGTCAAAGGGTTCGAACTTCGTCGCAGGACTATTTTCAGTTCCAGTGTCGGCCTTTGAGGCTTAAAGGTTTCTGAACAGGCCACATATATATGAAAAAACTGGTCTTGGAACAGTTGCATTTTTTAAGATTTTGTTTATAGGTAACATCATGTCTAAGTTATTATCCTGTATTTTTGTCCTTTTTAAGCCCCTTATGCAGATTCACTTTAGTTGCACCTCATCTTTTTTTATACTTGCATTTTACTAATATTGTATTCCACTTGTATTGTACTTGGATTCCTTTTTTTATTTTTGTGTTATATTTGTTGTATTTATGGTATTCTTTATTTTTAGTGTTTTTAGGCACGTTGAGACTTATGCGGTGGCACAACAGTTTCCTTCGGTGTAATTTGTTTTGTCTTAAATCTGATGTGTCTTGCTTAAAAAAAAAAAAAAAAAAAAAGTGTGAAAATTGTTTTAAAAATGGGCCACCAGTAAAAGCATCTCCGACTTTCCATTCCTTCCCCAGGTTGATGTTCCGTCTCTTATAACAGGCAAAGTCCTCAGAGCGGCTATGAAGCACATCGAAATAGTCGCTAAAGCTCGGCAAAAAGGTATTTGTACGTAGTTTTTAAGCCATTCAGAAACGCGCGCAGCAGGATTGATGGTAAATTGTAGTATTCTGTGGACTCCCAGTGAGAAACTCAGAACACCTGCAGCTGGCGGCCCTGGATGAGTATGGATCCGACCTCCACGTGGCGCTGCGGAGCCGCAGAGACGAGCTGCTATACCTCAGGAAGCTGACGGAGATGCTCTTCCCCTACATACTGCCCCCGAAGGCTTCTGACTGCAGGTGCAGCGTTGCAGAATAAACCATTAGAACGAATGGGAAGCCGCTCTTCTGTCATTTTAGCCACTTGAGTGTTTCTGCGTGTGTGTGCGTGCGTGCGTGCGTGTGTGTGTGTGTGTGTGTGTGTGTGTGTGTGTGCGTGTGTGTGTCTCTCTCGCAGGTCCCTCGCCTTGCTGATTCGGGAGATTCTGGCCGGCTCCGTCTTACTCCCGGCCATGGACTTTCTTGCTGACCCTGTGAGTGTGAGACATCGTCACTGGGAATCTTTGAGTGGACGTGGACAGGAAGAAGCTCTCTGTTCTGGGTGACTGTTGCCTAGCTGGTGTTTTATTTCTTTGTTGTGATTTGTTGACACTTTTTCCCAGGACACCGTGAATCACTTGGTACTCATCTTCATCGATGATTCTCCGGTAGGTACATGTGAACCGTTCCTTCCGTAACAAAGTCAGTGACGGCTGCTTATAATTAGAGCTCACTAGGTGGCAGTATTGTACTCCGTTCTCAGAGGTGTGTTTTCATTCGCCCAGCCAATGGGCTGAACCCGTTTTCTTCCTCTCCCCCAGCCCGAGCCGGCCAACGGCCCCACATCTGCTTTAGTGCCGTTCCTGCAGAAGTATTCTGAGTCACGCAACAGAAAGTCATCTGTAAGCACGTTTGCTTCTTTCCTGCAGCCGTACCACTGGCCGTGACTCACCAATCATCCCCTCATGTCTGTAGGTGCTAAAGTTGGAGCTGAAGGAGATCCGTGGACAGCAGGACCTCCTGTTCCGCTTCATGAATTTCCTAAAACAGGAAGGTGCGGTGCATGTGCTGCAGTTTTGCTTGGCTGTAGGTGAGTCCAGGTCTCTGCTTTTCTTCTCCACTAAGGCATGGCATGGATCTCTAAGACGAGTCCCAGAGGGCACCACCCATGAGATGTTTGCTCCAGAGTGGGTTCCATAGAAAGGGGTTGTTTTGCGTGGAACTAGGCCAAATTTTCTTGATCAGTGAGCTTTTTGCCACTAATTTCCCCCCCCCAGAGGAATTCAACGACAAAATCTTGTGCCCAGAGCTGAGCAATATTCAGATGCAGGCCCTGCACGAGGAGGTGAAGCAGCTCTACGATACCTACTGTCTGGACGAGAGCATCGACAAGATCCGCTTCGACCCCGTCATTGTGGAAGAAATACGGAAGAGTAAGCTCACAAATCACGGCCCGTTACGGTAACGTGCAGGGGGGCCGCGGGCTCTTCTGCCCGTTTTGAGGAAAGTGATCGTACAAATTCAGCGAACGGTTCACATGCAGTCAGGGTGAAGCGCTGTAAGTCTGAGGTGGTGAGAGCATGTGTTTTCCCAGTTGTAGATGTGTCTCATGTGGCATGTAATCTTCGCTTGGAGTTCCTCAGTGTCAACATCCTACTTCCTTGGGTAGTAATTCTGTACAGTTCTGGCTGTTTGTTTTTCTTGCCTGTCCTGCTGATGGTTAGTACACATGTACTGCCTGTAGGAATCTGAGTCCTTCCCTTTATGGCTCAGTCGCTCAGGGATCCTACAGTGACGTGGTGAAGCTGCAGACCTCGCCCTGCCTGTTCGAGGCCTACGAGCACGTTTTCTCACTACTGGAGAATGTCTTCACCCCTATGTTCTGCCACAGCGATGAGGTAATCCATGCGAGAATATATGGGAGATGCTTCCCAAAAGTGGTTTAGATCACGTGGAAATTCTTCCGCCTTCCTTTTCAGAGACAACGCAGCATTGTGTGGCTGTATCATGGCGAGCAGTCAGTGTTCATCCTACATTTTCCCCCCTTTTCTCGCCTGCAGTACTTCACGCATCTACTGAAGGGGGCCGAATCTCCGGTCAGGAGCTCCCGACATATCAGGTTGGCGTGTGTCCACATCCGTCTCCCTCCGTACTCTGCAACCCACGCAGTGTTTATGTTGGAATGGCCTGCTTGTAACGCCCACGTGTACTGTTTTACTTTACAGCCCCCGTGTTGTTTTAACTCAGGGTTCTGTCGTCCACCTCTCTTCTAACCCAGAGTTCCACAAGCTGCTCATAAAAAGCCTTTGAGACTCTGATCCTCCTTTTTAAGCTTTTTTTTTTTTTTTTTAAATTAAGCATGAGATGCCAAGTAGAGTTTGTCTGACTGCAGACAACCGCAGGGCAGCCGTCCACAATCCATTTTTAATTTTTTAATAAAAAAAAAATGATTAAACATCAGGCAGCTTTAATTCCATGTACCTGTTGTTCCAGAAATAGCCTGAATTTGGATGACATCAGGTAAGTATTTTCCCGGCACGACACTGGCCTGATCTCCTTCTCACTCCTGCATGTGAGATATGAGTTTGTCCTGGGGGAGGGGCGTCACTTGCTAGCCAGCTGACCGTCGCATGTCTGTAATGCAGGACACGCTTCAGTTTGTAAATGCATTTATAATTTGGAAATGCGTCTTTTGAAAAGCGCTGCCTGAACGGTTAGTCCTGCTATTGGCAGCACTGCAATTCAAAGCCCGTTCCTTTCAGGTTGGTCATGCAATTGGAAGTGGGTGGCAAGTATTTTCTTACCGTGGAGGGAAGGCGCTGGCCAACACACGCGAGGGGTCTGGGAGACGCGCTGGGAGACTGGCCTGTATCCGTGACTGAGAGCTATTTTGCGCTTGCTGGCTGTAACGGCTGTTTGAGTTCAAGATCTGTCTGATTTAGAAAACACGGCATGTGAATTTTCCCTCATGTCTGATGTTAAATGGCTCGTATGCACGATTGGACGGCTTCGCGGTGCGCGGAGTGCTGTAAGGTCCCGCTGAGCTGCACTGCGGGCCTCTCCTGCCCCTCTCTGACCTGCCGGCAGCCCCAGTGCCGGAAGGAGTGTTAAGTGGGGCCCATTACCATGGTAATTAGTTTAGCTGAAAGATTCAGCCCCGGCAGGGTTAATGCCGCTTATATCTGCAGCTATACGATGTCAACGTCACTGCAGAGAGACTGTATGTCCCTGACACCTGCTGTTCCCCCCCCCCCTCTTCCTCTGCATGGTTCCTTAATGCTCCTGTGCCCCCCCAGCCTTGCTGTCTCTCTCTTCATGCTATCGTCCACAGCAGCGTTTCCGGAGGTCTCCGGACTTTGCGTGGTGGGGGGGGTACTCCTTGTACTGTGTTTCTCTGTCACCATTTATGAACCGCATCAGTCCTGGCAACTAACCGCCTGGATATTCCCCTGCGATGTCTTGACATTTTGAAAATAGGTTTGGGAATGTTTAATCTTGTTCCACATCCACATTTACCGTGTCTAAAGGCTATGCGACTGCACTAAAATCTCAGGTCTTGTTGATTTAGAGGTGGAAGTCAAGAGAAAACAACATGACAGGCGTTTTTCCACCCATTAATAAGATTTTGAAACCAACAGCGCTGAAGTGAAAAATCTGAAAATGACTGCGTGTGTGGGACCTTTAATATCTACTCTGTAGAATGTTTGTAGGATGCAGCAGAAGGTTGTAAAGGGGATGTAGTGTGTTTATGTTACGGGAAAACTGTTTGACTTTTTCCTGCTTTAGCACTACCGGTGTGGTCAGGGTCATGTCAGAGGCTGGAGCAGAGGGCTGAAAGCTGGGGTGCACACTGCATGGGAGGCCACACACAGACACACACACACACACACACACACACACACACACTCACTCAGGAATCATATAGTCTCAGCAGTTTAATGGTGACATTTAGCCTGGATGCAGGTCTTTGTGTGGGAATGCACATCAAAGAGAGAATCCCCCCCCCCCCTCGCGTGCCATGTGCACACAACAAAGTTCCCCAGCGTGATCCGTGCCGGTGGGAATGCAGCGGCTTTCGGCCGCTTCCCTCAGGATGAACGGCTCCATCTTTCCTCGTGAACATGTGGCCTCCGAAGGCTGAACCCGTGATCTTTGTCTGGCTGTGTGTGCCTGTTGTTTAGGAATCCGCTGAGGCGCGGGGAATCTTCCGGAATCAGCCGCATAGGCAGCAAGATCAAAGGTGTTTTCAGAAACAGCACCATGGAGGGGGCTATGCTGCCGCTGTACGGCCCCCCCGAGGGCGAGGACGACACGGTACTGCCCCCCCCCCCCCCAGGCACTGCCTTTTATTGCCTTCTTTACGTTGAATGTTGCTGGGGTTTAAGTATATATGTTTAAAGAGCTGACAGGGAAGGGCTTCCTGCAGCTTGCTGCTCCTGATGAAGGGGCGGGACAGTTGTGCCCCGGCTGGCTCTCTGTTTCCCTGGCACTGCAGAGCAGCTTCCTGCTGGTTACGCGTTCTCCGTCTGGCTGGATGTGCTCAGGTGGAGGAGGCCACGGTGGTGCTGGAGGACGACCCCCCAGCGGAGGCAGCCGGAAGCGGCAGCACCCACCGCAACCTGTCTGCTTGGAGCATCAGCATCCCGTACGTGGACTTCTACGAGGACGACCTGAAGCGGGAGAAGACCCCCGTGTTCTGCATCGACGTGCAGCGTAACGACAGGAAGGAGGGTGGGTTCGTGGGCAGGAGATGATCTGGCTGATTGGGCGTCGCTCACAGGTGTCCCCGTTCTGTCTTTGTTTCAGTCGGACATGCGACTGAGAGCTGGTCCATCTTCAGGCGATACCTCGAATTCTACGTCCTTGAGTCGAAACTTACCGAGTTTCACGGTAGATGTCACGCTCCTTCGATTACATCTCTCCTCTTTTGTCTTGCCTCTGTTCCGCTTCTTCTCACTGTTTGTCCAGAGTTACTGGGAACCTGTAATATTGGGCCCCAATTGACCCAAAGCGATGTCATTCAATCTTAATCTAATTAGCCATGGCGTCAATATGAAATGCTAAAGCGTGAAATTGCCGGTTAAGCCATGGCCCGCCTGTTGTTCTATTTCATAGGCTCATTTCCGGATGCCCAGCTACCATCCAAACGGATATTAGGGCCAAAGAATTTTGAGTTCTTGTCGTCCAAGAGGGAGGAGTTTGAAGAATATCTGCAGGTATTCATTAAATGGAGGAGAGGTTGAGAATGTTTTAGTTCTGCATATTTTCTGATTCAAAAACTCCCACCTAGCACTGATGCAGCAGGTGTAACTGTCCTACACTGACACTTTAAATCCGCAGTCATACCATTTATGTGTTACTCATTTCATAGAGGGTTTTTTGAGAATTAATTTTATGTTTCTTATACTCCTGTAATGTTACAGTATCTGAGTACTAAACAAATGAACACTGTAGCCCTCGTCTATATTAAATGAAACCTGCGGATCTGATTTTACTGAGAGTTCTTATCAGAAACTTTTTCGTGTCCTTGTCGATCTGACAGCGTTGCATGCAGTACAGCTTCCTTAAACCTGAAGGTAGCTAATTGGAAAGTAACCCCTGGATCTGTCATTCGGTCAGTGGCCTGCATGCTGTCGTCCCCAGAAACTGCTACTGCACCCGGAGCTCAGCAACAGCCAGCTTCTGGCTGACTTCCTGTCTCCAAACAGCTTGGAGTCACAGTTCCTGGAAAAGATGCTCCCAGACGTGAACTTGGGTACGTGGCAGTGCTGTCTGGCTGATTAGCTAACCACCTGACACTGTAATGATGATTTGGCAGTTAAACTCCATTTGGGCTGCTTATGGCTGAACTGTCACAAACTCCGTTCATGAGCGTGAAATGCTCTGCACTGTACTCTGCCTTAGACCTTAATGGACAAATCATTACTTATGTTAATTCTTTTTTATTTTCTCCATACCTCATGAACTCTTAACATGTCAGTTTCATTTTCTTTTTAAACCTGCGCAGGGAAAATTATCAAGTCAGTTCCTGGGAAATTAATTAAAGAGGTAAAAGAGACATTTCTTTTTGTTTTCCCATCTTGCATTTACGATGAGTTTGATGTGTTCTTAGGATAAGAGATTTCAGCCTGATAGCATTTATATTTAATCATAATACTTTGTTTGCTTTGCTGTGTGACGGTAATATAAATGGCAGCCATGCTAATTCTTTCCGGTTTCTTCTTCATGCATCGGTGGGTTGGTCTGCACCTGCTGCTTGTGTCCTGTGACACTTTGGCTTTTGATCCTCCAGAAAGGACAAAACCTGGAGCCTTTCTTGCAGTCTTTCTTCAACTCGTGTGAGGCCTCCAAACCGAAACCCAGCCGGCCTGAGCTCACTATCCTGAGCCCCACCTCCGAGAACAACAAGAAGGTCAGTAGATGACCCACGGCACCACCTCGAGCTGACCTGGGAGCGTCTTGGGCTGGACGTGGGGGGCGGCTTCAGGACCTTCGCTTCAGGCTCTCGTGTTTCTCCTCTGGACAGCTCTTCAATGACCTTTACGAAAACAACGCCAACCGCGCCGAAGCCACCGAGAGGCGCCACAATCAGAATTGCTTCATGGAGATGGTCACTGTGGAGGGAGTGTATGACTACCTGATGTATATCGGTAAGTTGCTAGTTGGCCAGGCTGTACAGCGGAAAGCCCACAAAACCTGATGGTAACTGAACCGGATGGAGAGGGCGAGTAAATGCAGGATGATGGTTTGATCTACACAGGAGGTCGCTGGTTCAAATCCCAGGGTCGGCAGAGTGATGTCACCTTTGGGCCCCTGAGCGAGGCCCCTAACCCCCAATCACCCCCAGCACTGGCTGACCCTGATTTCAATTGTTATTAATAATCAAGCAGCCATACAAAATACACAAATATGTTCATTAAAACATAAGTTTTATGTTCCTTATTATGTGTGATATTATGTAGACCTAAAATGAAGCGACTAAACGACAGGGCTATCCTTCATACAAAGTAAATTAAGCAAATTAATTTGCAATGACAAAAACAGTCTAGGCCACTCCAAGAGGATGAAGGGTGCATCATTTATAATAATCTATGGCTAACATAATCCGCTATGTGCTGTTTTCCTTCCGCCATATTGCCGAGTAATCCAGAAGGCATATTTTAATTGATGCATTTTTTAAATCGAGTAATTGTGGCAGCTTTAGTATTAATTGTATTTTTTATAGGCTATAGCAAACGTGAGCCACTTTCCCCCTGTGTGCTGATTGGCAGGCCGCGTTGTGTTCCGCATCCCCGATTGGATGCACCACATGCTGTCTGGTGGCCGCATCCTGCTGAAAAACACATTGGAAGCATGGGCTGACCACTATCTGCAGGACAAGCTGGAGCAGGTGCTGCAGGAGCATCGCGTGGTCTCCCTCATCACGCTGCTACGCGGTGCGTGGTCTCCCTCATCACGCTGCCGCGTGGTCTCCCTCATCGCGCTGCCGCGTGGTCTCCCTCATCGCGCTGCCGCGTGGTCTCCCTCATCGCGCTGCCGCGTGGTCTCCCTCATCGCGCTGCCGCTTGGTCTCCCTCATCGCGCTGCTTGGTCTCCCTCATCCCTCACCCCTGCTCCCTCATCGCGCTGCTTGGTCTCCCTCATCGCGCTGCTTGGTCTCCCTCATCGCGCTGCTTGGTCTCCCTCATCACGCTGCTGTGCGGTGTGCGGTCTCCATCTTCGCGGTGCTTGGTCTCCCTCATCATGCTGCTGTGCGGTGTGCGGTCTCCCTCATCACGCTGCTGTGCGGTGTGCGGTCTCCCTCATCGCGGTGCTTGGTCTCCCTCATCACGCTGCTGTGCGGTGTGTGGTCTCCCTCATCGCGGTGCTTGGTCTCCCTCATCACGCTGCTGTGCGGTGTGTGGTCT